AATTTAATAAGAGTAGGAGGACGCTTATCCAACTCACAACTTGAATATGACCACAAATATCCTATAGTTCTTCCATATAAACACCAATTTACTAATCTTTTGCTTTCTCACGAACATTTGAAAAACTTTCACGCTGGAGCTCAAAATCTGCTATCTATTGTGCGATTGAAGTTTTGGCCAATAAATGGTAAAAACGCGATCAAAAAAGTTATTCGTTCTTGTGTACGGTGCTTTAGAGCTAACCCAAGAGTTTCAAAATTTTTAATGGGCGATTTGCCTCACGCGAGAGTTACACCAGCTAGAGTTTTCTCAAAATGTGGCATCGATTATGCAGGACCGATTTTTATTAAGGAAGGTACGCTTCGTAGAAGCAAAACTGTGAAGACCTATATTTGCATTTTTGTTTGTTTTGCGGTGCGTGCTGTTCACATTGAATTGGTCCACGATTTAACTACAGAAAGTTTCTTGAATGCACTCCAGCGTTTTATTTCTAGACGAGGTCGTCCTACAGATATCTACTCTGATAACGGTTTAAATTTTGTAGGAGCCAATAATTATTTCTCAGAGTTATACGAGTTATTAAATAATGAAAAACTTCAAAATAATGTGTCGGCATTTCTCGCAAAAGATCAGATCAAGTGGCACTTCATACCAGCCAAATCTCCACATGTAGGTGGTTTGTGGGAAGCCGCCGTTAAATCGACAAAATTTCATATGAAACGCGTGCTCGGAAATACTATTTTAACCTACGAAGAGATGAATACTCTTCTCGTACAAATAGAGGGTTGTCTTAATTCACGTCCACTAACAACATTATCCCACGATGCCAACGATATGATGCCACTGACGCCAGCCCATTTTTTGATTGGGGATTCCTTAGCTAGCATGCCCCAACATAACATATTGGATCAAAATACTAACAGGCTCTCCAGATACCAGCATCTACAACAAATGTTGCAAAGTTTCTGGTCTCGTTGGTCACGAGAATACCTAAGTCAGCTCCAGGCTCGCTCAAAATGGTTAATAAAACTCCCATGTAATCTACAAGCTGGTTCCATTGTGATTCTGTTGGAAGACAATCTGCCCCCTCTACGATGGCCTATGGCAAAGGTGATTGCTTTACATCCCGGTGCAGATAACATTGTGAGAGTGGTATCAGTGAAGTTATCTAGTGGAACTATTGTGAAACGATCACTATCAAAAATTTGTGTTTTACCTATTGATACGACTGTCTAAGAATTTAATTTCCTCTCAAAAGTTAGATTTTCTCGAAAATTTTAGAAGAGATGTACGTTGTTTAAAATTGCAATTTTTTGCATAAATTTTGTTCATTTTATTTAAGTATTTATCAATGTATAACTTTTTTGAAAAGTATACTTTTCAACGCGGGCGGCATGTTCCGGTTAGTAGGTATTTAATGAAAAAGAAAATCAAGAGCTGGAGAAGAAAAAACAAAACAGAAGTAACCAAGCAAATAAAAAACAAGTAGACGTCACTTTTTTGAAAAAATAGAAAAAGTTTGAAACACGTTTGTCAATTTGCTCGCTGCCACGCATTTTTTTATATTATTTTTTTTTTAATAAAACATTTAAGAAGCTCGTCTGCAGTCCACTGTTTTCCCTGAGCACAGGGTGGTCCTTCGCCACTTGAAATACACGCTCAAACATCGGGTTTGTGGCGAATGTGGGAGGAATGAGATGCTCAAACATCAAAAAATTGGAATCTGATGATTTTTTGGCTTTAGATTTATATAACATTATGACAGCGATACGAGCATCGTTACGTGATCGTTTAGAGCAACATTTTTATGGCTTTGTTGCTCAGAATTTATTGCAGAAATGTGATAATGATTCGGCTAATATTATATTTGTAAAGGAAGCAGATGCTTTTCATATATAATATCACAAGAGAAAAACATTTGTCGGCAAAATTTTCATTTTCATATGAAAGTTTGTTGCTTGGCAATTTCGCGAATGACATTTTTGACAAAATCGCGAGTGATTTTATCAAAAATGTCATGAGCGAAATTGTCGAAAAGCAACAAACTTGAATAAAACCTTGATAACAATTTTTCCTATTCGTCATGACTATTTCACGTAAGATTTCGAAAATAAATAGAATGCAATTAATGCAAAAATATGAATTAACACTTCAAATTAAAAATATCAGTTTGACAATGTCAAAAAATGGTCGCTGAAATACCATGTTGTTGGTATTGTCCAGGTAGCAATATTGTCACCTGAATTCCGAATTCATTGCCGGTGTAATACACTCTAGTGAAATAGTCTGGACAAGTGTATTTCCTATTTAGAAAAATGGTTTAATTTTGATAATCATAAATATAAAAATCTTTCTGTTTTTTATTTAATTCAAGTTCCAACTTTTAATGACTTCAACAGTGTAATAAATGACTTTAATTTTGGACAGAATATTGATGTTGATATTTTGTTTGATGAGTTTTGCATTTTAAATGAATATGTGAAACAGAAAATAGAAGATGACGAATTTAAACGTTTAACAGCCGACAAAAAATGGGTTAATTTTTTCAAGAATAATAATGCCAAAAACTTGGAAAAATTGTTGAATTTTATATTTTCTTTACCACATTCGAACGCAGATTCTGAAAGAATCTTTAGTTTAATGTTCAATGCTTGGCGCAAAGATAGAAATAAAAGTGCGTTAAAAACTGTAGAAAGTGAGCTACTTATAAAATACACTTTTTCATTCACGTGTTCTGAGTTTGAAAAATACCTTCTTTCAAAGGATGGTGATAGTTTGCTGGTAAAAATGAGGCAATCCGAAAAGTACCTATAGTATGTAAGTTTTTATTTTATTATGAGAATGTATCTTGTTTTTTTTTTTGTTTGATGTTTACTATATAATATTTTTCACGTTTTTGTTTTTCATTTGTTTGTCAAAATTTTTGACAATTTGAATTTCTATTTATAAAAGTTTATGTTAACATGTTTATCATATAATATATAATTTTTTCAGTAACGTATCAAATTTTTTTTTTAGCCCCCCCCCCCACCGTCGTCATATTTGTCACGCTTTTCACTCTCGTAAATCTGGCAACCCTAAGGTAGGGGGAACTAGAACCACCATATTTTGGCTATGTTACAATGACCCCTTGAGGGCTCTATGCACCCCAACCCCAATATTTCAAATGGCATCACCCCTTTTGTGATACCTAAAATTTAATATCTTGTGAAAAATTTTTGTGCAGGTGTATATTATACTCAAAAATATTTAATTTTATGTATCACGGAGGGGGTGGTGCCATTCAAAAACTTGGGGTTGGAGTGCATGGGGCTCAATACGTCACTCACGCCGTAACCAAAATATGGCGGTTCTAGTATATGGTGGTTATAGTTCCCCCTACCTGTATAACATTTGTACCAAATTACGTTATTCTAACTTTTTTACTTTCAGAGATATTCGCATTGAATGTTTTCAAATTGACACCCTGTGTGTTAATTATCCAAAAATTCATCATCTTCGAAAACAAAAACGTTGTTGGTTAACTTCTTGGATGATGATGATGAGGACGACGACCGTTGTGGTTCCGGCTCTGAAGAGGTGGCTGCTGCAGCATTTAACGATTGTTCAATCGTAAAATTGGGGTCCCTGTTCGATTGCAATTTAATTTCCCTCTAAATCAAATTAAATTTTGCACGATGCTTCTAGCTTTTCGTCGTTCTCCAATCGAGTTCCCATGTACTCGATAAGTAAACCCCCAAATTTTTCCTTCAAAATAGTATCCTTAGGAGAGTAGCATAGCTGGAATACTATTTTATCATACAAACTACAATATGCCGTTCTCCATAATTAAAAAAAAAAAGAAAAAAATATATCAAAAAAATAGAGTTGCTGCACTTTTAAAAATAATAGAAAGTTTAAAACTTACGTGAATAATTATTTCAACACAATCAGCCCCATTTTTAGAGGAAAATTTACTTTATATTCAATGATAACTATATTTGTTGATGGTGTATTAGCAATGAAAATTAAATCTCGAACCAATACTTTATATGTATATGCTTACTAAAGTAAATATCAATTATAACCTAAAGAACTACTAATAATGAGGAGAAACGGCGGGAAAACTTCCGTCATCTAATATTTATTTATTTGAAGCCACGAGTTGCTTATACTTAGTTGCGAATACGCTTAAACTATTTGAGTTCATTCATTCTGTTGTTATCGCATATCTTGTCGTAAATGCTCCGAAAAAACAAAAAAAAAATACTTCTTGTTTAAAAAGTTTTTTCTCCTAATTTGAAATTAAATTACAATATTGAAACCAAAGAAATAATTTTACGTTTAGTCAGACATTGTTATTAGTTCTGCTGATGCTACTGATTCTATTGGTACTGTACCTCACAACACTCCTTTTGAAGCTGAAGAAGAAGAAATAAATCCTATCTCATATAGAAGAATTTTAACCTCAAGAAAATTACTAAGGAACGAAGAAGAAAATGTTGAATACACAGTAATACATCAACAACAAGAATCAACTGGTAAAAAAATACCAGAACAAAGACAACAGCAAGAATAAGAATCACTCGTGAACAATTTAACTAATGTAAGTACAATTATGGTTGATTCACTTTTCAATCAAACTTCTGACAACAACGATAATGTTATCGTTATCGAGGTTTTAGACCTGACTTAATCGGAGATTGGACTTATATTGGCGTTTCAAATTAAGATCGCAGCACCGCGGTGGTCGATCGGTGAAACTTTTTGTCGTGGATGATTTCATAACCTTAGTTTTTAGTAACGTGATATTCTTATCAGAAGATAGTCGTGTTTGATTATTTTTTTGCTTTTTTTCTTATGTGTTGGTGCTCCTATGCTTCTGTTGTATTTTTTTGTGTTTTTTTAAATGATTTCGAACTTTATGAACTACATTAAATTGAATTTGTGTGGAAAGTTTAGTTCAAAGTGCACACCTGCCTATGAATTCAAATTCTTAATTTGCTTTTTTTTTGCGAATCATGGCTGATAAGCCACTGAGTTTGGCTGAATATATGTCTTATATTGAAGCCACCACGAGTTTGAGATGTTTGATCGACGGAGAGGAAGTCCTCAATGCTGGCCCCATTGTATTACATGGTCGAACTGATTGCAGCCCAACATCAATTAAAATATGTGCAGTTTGCCTGCAATCTAGTGCATTGCAGACCCATCCACACCAAATTATTGGTGAACTGAAAATTTCTAATGGTGCAGCTAAAATTTTCAAGATGCATTGTAGGTACTTGCAAAGCTGGAGCCGGAGGAAAATGCAAACACATTTCTGCATTTTTGATTCTATTAACAAGGTACATACTTCACATTCCTAAAAGTTGGCGTAATTAAGCCATTTAATTTTTTTTTTTTTTTGTGTTTTTTATTCCAGGAAAAATCTATCTGAATTGAAAGACATTTCCAAAACGCAGTTAAACTGCATTTGGACAGATTCCAAGAAATCCGTTAAGCAGAAATATAAGGCAACCTGTGTTAGAGAAATGCCCTGTATCAAACCTAAACTAGGGATGAATGTACCTGTTAACATGAATGATGATTTGAGGAAAACAGTATTGGAGTCCTTTATGAAAAAACTCCCCAATTCAGCAATTGCAAAGCATTCGTAAGATTACGAAATATAATTTTTTCCAACTAATTCATTATTGTTCTTTTTAGCAAAGGACGTCATAGCGATAACAGTGCAAAGTCTGGTGCAAATGTAGTTGCACTAGACAAAAATATTGCCATGACATCAGAATTTGTGAAGATTCTAGACAATGCTGCCCAATCTGTTATAATGATGCAAATACATTTTATGCCTTCTCTGTTCTCTTTCGCTTGTTGTGAGGGTGTTTTTTGTAACATCTTGAATGAGTCAGCAAGTGAGATGATAGAATTGAGCCAGATGTCTTCTGAATGGCATAATGCTCGTCAGTTTCGCATAACTGGTTCAAGATGCTACGAAATATATACATATAAAGGGACATGTTGGGAATCCAAAACTCAGAAGTATTTTTGACCAAAAAGTTTCACAAACAAATATGTTAAACATGGGCTGAAGTATGAAAAGGATGCTCGTACAGCTTTTGTCGATAAAACTGGACATAGAGTTGTAGAATGTGGGATGGTCATTTCTCCATAGAATAATTGGCTAGGCTTTTCTCCTGTTGTATTGTGGTTGATGTGGACGGATATCCAGTAGCTCTTTTGGAAATAAAATATTTATTTGAGGGTAACTTTTTTGAGAAAGATAAGTAATTTAACTTATTATTATTTTTTTTGTAGGTAGTAAAGCTTCCATTGAAGAAACTCTTCCATCATGTGGCTATTTGAAAAAAGAAAACGGTGTGTATCAGTTGAAGAAGAAACATAAATACGTAAGTAAAGGTAAGTTCAATTAGGCATGGGAATGTTAAATGTTTCAAAATGCTTTTTAGTGTTGTATGCATCATTTGACATGTCTTTGATCATAATAGAAATTGATTTTGATTTTGAATTTGCCTTGGAAATGCTAACCAAAGTTGAAAGAAATTATTTTTCATAAATGATCCACTCTATTTGTGATGTTTAAGTTTGATCAATCCTGCAGGAAAGACTTTCAGCATTTTGTTTATGTGATTTTACAGACATTTTTCCTACGACTGTTTGCTGTTATTTTAAGTACTATAAAAGGCAACGTTCCAGCAACAGATCGTGTTAATTTTATTTATAATTGTCAATATTCATTTATTCGATTGAATGAATATTGACAATTATAATTAAAATTAACACAATCTTATCGACTCGTTGCCTTTCTAGAACTTGATATAACACTAGCAAAACATGTATTCAAAATCAACTGTGATGGTGGTGAAGCTTCTAATATGTCTTTGGTATTTTTTCTGTTATATTCCTTTAGCTTTAGTGATCTTAAAATATTTTATGGGTCCTAAGAGAATTATGGAATGCATATCCAATGCTTTTGTTTAAAATAAATATAGGTATTGGTATTTAAATATAATCTGTTTTAGAAGCCTGGTTTAATTCGATGTTATTTTATTTATGTACATAAAAGTGGTGGGAAGGGAAGGTTTGTTTTACTTGTCGAAAAAAATGAATCGTGAATTTTTCTACAGTACATAGTAGAAAATGAATATTATAAATGTTTTTGTGATAGGTAGTTACTTATATTATCTTGAATAAAATAAAATTTCCAACTAAATTGTGGTTTTTATTAGATACCTAATAAAGAATTAGTTTTGTGAGGTCTATACTATTTGCAGAGGATTTTGTATAAGGAAGAAAATAAAACTCAATTTCACAGCAAAAAAAAAAATTTACACGCTAAAGTTCGTACTTGATTTCAAAAAAAAGTAACTCTTCCTATAACTATAATGATCAAAATCAAAATAGTTTATTGGTGCTATAATAGTACATTGAAATACAAGTTTCATAAGACGTCATCAGATAAAATGTCTTATGAAACGAATATTTTATACTATTTTTTTCTATTTTGGTATTGTTTAATTAAAAAAAACAAATTTTTCTTGGAAATTTTATTCTCATATTTCCTGATTTTATATGTTTAGGTTGGTAACACTACGTGCCAAATATAGAAATCTTCTATTATAAAATCGCGAATGACCGTTCGATGGCCATCAGTTAGCCAGTGTTACCAACCTCCGATAAGTAAAAAAGGAGTGTCACAAAGAGCTTCTTTTCGAAACTACTTTTAGTGTCGAAAAGACTTCCATATGACACCAAAATAGAAAAATACAATTGTACCTTACACAAGTCATATAAATAAATCTTACATTTATGATAAAAATACAAAAATTTCGCTGACTACTATACATATTATTTAAAAGAAAAACAGACTGATAAATGCTAAAATTACAGTGACTAATACTAAAGGTAAAATAAAGACAAAAAAGTCAATCTAAAAAACTAAATAAAAAATGTTAAAGAAATCTTTCATCAGCAAGAATGGCTGATGAAAGATTAGTGATTCCACAAATGATTGTAAATATCTCTTCAATTTTTGGCACAAGTGACCACTGCAATTTTCCGCTAATAATTTTGAAAATTTTAAGTCTTTGATTAGACCTTTCAATGTGAACTCTGGGTTAAGCAATCTTTCGATATTTAAGAGCTTCTCCAGCTGATAATTGTTTTTTTTTTTCTTAGAAAAGGAGGCCTAATGAATTTGATATTATATATTGCTTCAATTAAAAATCCCTTATCCACCATTACTGCATCAACATTTGAGCATAATAAACTTATCAGTTTGCTTTCCTCAAAAATTAGTTTGTCTGATGCTCTACCTCCATAAGCTTTACTCACAAATGTAATAGTTCCCGCTGGAGAAACGCCAGTCATAAATTTAATGGTAGGTAGTACTTTTCTTGTATTGAGAATGAAATTTAACCGTAAAACATAAACAAGTTGGTTTTTGAACAAAGATTTCTGTGCATTCCAGTACAATCCTACAATAGGCTCCTTGCATCAATTTTTATTATTGCTGATTTCGATAGTCCATAAAAAATAAGTCAACACGTGTTTTTTCTTTTTCTTCTTAGTCAAAAATTGACGGAGATACAACGCTATGAAATCTGCCTATGACGTCACTTATCATATAAATTGGTGACGTTGCACATGCTCAGTATATCTATATGCAGTGTGATTTTTTAAGTGTGCAACATATGGGGATTTTTTTTAGTAATAGCACAACCCAAATACAAACAAGGCCAAAAATTGGTGCATGTCTGATAATCATATTAGGTGCACTTAGAATGGTTGCAAGTCAAACAGCATACAGGGTAGCTCAAACAATATCAAAGCTGTACTGTAAAATACCCTTATTTCAGAAAATTCAGCAAAATTTTATAGAGAAAAGTTGTTCCGAATTAAAAGTTATGCCTAAATACCAAAACATAGCCTCCTAAGATTTTTTTTTTCTTTCGAAAAAAAACTATAATTTCTATATTTTTTTTATTTTTCATTTCCGCCCTTAATACTTTCAAAAATTAATTAAAATCAAATCAATTTTACATAACTTTGTTCAAATTCAAGCATATTTGTAAAATTAACTTAAATTTTTAATTTTTTATGGAATCACAAAATTCATGTTTGTTGCAATGATATTCAACACAACTTCAAAATGTCGCAATTTTTTTTTTAACAAGTTAAAACATTACCAATGATAATAGCCATATTGAAAAAACTCTCCTTAAAGTGCAAAAGTTTTATTTTATTTAAGTGAATATTAGTAGAATTTTGATATTTTTTGAGCCACCCTGTATGGTGTTTGACTTGCAACCATTCTAAGTGCACCTAATATGATTATCAGGCATGCACCAACTTTTGGCCTTGTTTGTATTTTGATTGTGCTATTACTACAAAAAAAATCCCATATGTTGCACACTTAAGTAATGACACTGTATACAAAACTTAATATTTGTATAACTTCCGGAATAATCATAATTGGGCGAAATAAAAAAAAAAATTACGATTTTTTTTCGATTTCCTACAGTTTGCAATAAACAATAATCAATTTAATTTTCCATGCAAGTACCCTATTGTTGAAATTTTTGAAACATGTTGGCATGTTTTTCGAGATCTCTTCAACAGAAGGAAAATAAATGCAAGTTTCTAAAATTTCACTTAAAACACTCAAAAATTCATAAAAAATATGTTTTGCATAGTTGCCCTGATATATTGAACAACATTCCTAGAGTGATATAAGTCAAATCCAGTTTTAATTCGGTCATAGTGAGCATAAGTCTCTCTTTAACATTAAGTCTATATGTTCTTGTATCATGATGCACAAGCTTTATGTTTTCAAGAAGAATATAAAAAATTTCAAAATTATTGATTCCAGTAAAACTTCTCAATGCAATATCAGTTTCTATCTAATCGCAAAGAGTACAAATTTTGAATGTATTTACTTGAACCGATTCATCACGCTTCAAAATTGGAACATTATTAATTTCATCTTCTTTAACATTTTCATTAGTTTCTAGTAATGTTTATAATTAGTGGAGTAAAAACACAGGAAAAAGTCACTTCCTTCTCGATTTTTTTTTTTTTAAGGTCTAACCACATGAAACCTATACAGCATGATCGGTTATGCTCTTGTGCATCTAAAATGGATAATTACGACTTTTTTCGCGAGGGAAGACATTTTTTATCTCAAAAAATGTGACAAATATGTCAAAATGTTATTTTTGTGTTTTTTTAAACCCACCACGCGATAACTCCGGAGCTAATAAACCTATCAACATTATTATTTTTTAATCGAAAGAGGACATATGAGCGGTGATAACTGTGCTAGTTTAAATCCCATAGTGACTCAATTTTTTTTTTGGAAACTGGATACAACTTCAAATAGTACTTTAATTGCAGCATGTTTTTCGGTAAGCGAGAAACTTTTTTAGTTGAACCAATTTTGTCATAGTATCTGCATACGATATGATGACAAAGTATCAAAACAAGTTTTTTGGGAAAAAATCAAGCATCTGGAACAAACAGTTTTCTAGTTATCCTTGATTAAAGTTATGAATATCCACAGCGCGCGATGTACCTGCTTGTCGGCGACGCCGACGGCACTGGCGAACGTGGAGATTTTACTGCGGATTTGAAAGTTGGTGCTCGAAAGGTTCCAAAATTTAAAGAATTTATTAAATCTTCTTCAAATAAAACAGCATTAGTAAATTATTCAACAAACTTTTTCTTGGAAAAGGGGCCTTCTATACTTAGCAATGAGAAAAAAATAATAATAGCAGGATTCAAGAATGCCGAAAGTTGCTTTCTGCTGACCAAAAACGGTAAACCACAAAATTTAAAAAATTTGATAGCAAACAAGAAGAAGCTGATACGAGGAGAATTCTTCACTTATCAAATGATCTTTCGACTTGCAAATCCATTCTAGTAAAATCTGTGGATACAGATACTCTGATTTTGCTTGTAGTCGTCTATGTATGTGATGTGAGTATTTTTGTGAAGTGTAAATACAAGTGTCATCTGCGTAGATGGACATTTTAGTATGAGGATTATTGGGGATAATAATTTACTACTGCCATTTTATTTGAAGAAGATTTAATAAATTCTTTAAATTTTGGAACCTTTCGAGCAACAACTTTCGAATCCGCAGTAAAATCTCCACGTTCGCCAGTGCCGTCGGCGTCGCCGAAAAGCAGGTACATCGCGCGCTGTGGATAATCATAACTTTAATCAAGGATAACTAGAAAACTATTTGTTCCAGATGGTTGATTTTTTTTTTCAGCTTTTTTGTTATTTCGTCGTCATATCATACGCAGATACTATGACAAAATTCATTCAAATAAAAAAGTTACTCGCTTACCGAAAAACATGCTGCACTTAAAGTACGATTTGAAGTTCAATCCAGTTTCCAAAAAAAAATTGACTCACTTTGAATTTAACCGGAACTTTAAATTTAATTGGAATTTTTAATCATGGATTAAATTCAAAGTTGGTGTCAAATGATAGTTTATAAAAATCTAATACAGGAATGTAAAATCGGTTTTCCTCTTAAATTAACCGTTT